TGTGGTTTTATGTTGGCTGTGTAAGAGTAGAGACGGCAGCGCGCGCCGCAAGAGAACACGAAAAAAAATAGAATTACAATTGCGTGCTTGTATGGCGCGTTGCATAGCGCCGCGTGCGTGCGTGCTGTGCGGTGCGTGCAAAACCCTTTCAACCTGATCGCCTACGCACCCGATTGTCCTGTCTCGGCGCCCGCCAAAAACATTAAAATAAATAACAGTGTCTGTTTTCAATAAAAATTTGCCCCATTTATCATCACCAACACAGTTTCCTATCACAAAACACCCAACATAATCCGCAAGCAACACCACACATCAGCAGCACACCAACATCAGGCACCAACCACCAACCATCAGCCAGGCAACACCAAACATCACCAGGGCAACACCAAACAAATCAGCAAGCAACCACCAACATTCAGCAGCAAACCACCAAACATCAGCACAAGGCAACAGCCAACATCACGCCAGCAACACCACAAAATCAAGCTCAGCAGCGCGCACGGTAAACAGATGAAGAGGTTCCGCAAGGCCCACCGGGCCCCAGGGTCCGGGGTTAAACAACTCGCTTGGGTCTGCGTGTACTGACCGTGTATTTGTAAAAGTGAGCGTAGAGAGCAGAGGAAAGACTAACGAGCAAGACGGGGAGAGGAGCAAAGGACTGCACAGAGCAGAGAGATGGGAGAAAGAAACTGACACGAGAGAATGCAGTAGGAGAGGAGAAGCAGAAACAAGCGAAATCAAAGTTACAGTAGGGAGTAATAGAGAGCAAGAGAAACAGACAGACGAGAACGGAAGAGAGAGAGAGACGATCGAGAGAGAAAGACATCTCCGAAGGAAAGACGAGAGAGAGAGACGCAGAGAGAGAGAGAAAGAGCGAGAGAGAGAGAAAGAGCGTGAGAGAGAGTGCATGTTTGTGCGTTGGTGCGCGTGTAAGTATGTATCTATGTACGTATGTGTGTGTGTGTGTGTGTGTGTGTGTGTGCGTGCGTGCGAGTGCGTGTGTGTGTGCGTGTGTGCGTGTGTGCGTGCGTGTGTGCGTGCGTGCGTGCGTGCGCGTGCGTGTGTGCGTGTGTACGTGCGTGTGCGTGTATGTGTGCTCGTGTATGTGTGTGTGTGCGCGCGTGCGTGTGTGCGTGCGCGTGTGTGTGTGCGTTACCTAAGGTATACAGGTGATTTGCGTCTCCACCCGTCGTCCCAGGGCAGTCATGCAGCGTTCACGGTCCAGTGCTTCTATAGGCAGATACACCGACTACGTTCTATGACAGCACATTTCTGTCCCGCGGGAGAAACCAGGCCCTTCGTCTGAGAGAGAGAGAGAGAGAGAAGGGAGAGAGAGGGGCGAGGAAGAGAGAGGGAGAGAAAGAGTGAGAGGGAGAGAGTGAGAGAGAAAAAGCAAGAGCGAGACAAAGAGAGAGATAGAGAG